CAAAATATTGTCCGTTAGCGTTAATGCACTTTTTCATACGAATGAACCAATTTTGAAAACATTTATGCCACTCCCCCGTGACAATTTCTGAAACATATTTTTCATACTCTTCGACAGCCTCTTCAGATGATGAAAATCGTTGACCACGTAACTGGTTCTTAATTTTTGGAAATAAATAAAAGTCACAAGGTGCCAGGTCGGGACTGTACGCGGGATGGCTCATAAGGTCAACGTTGTTCACCTTCAGAAATTCATTTGTCTGTCTGGCCGTGTGAGAACTGGCATTATCGTGGTGTAAGGTGATATCGCGTTTACGGTCATTTTTACGGATTTATCAATAAATTTCAGCAAACAAATGGTCTTGTACCAATCACTATTCACGGTATAATGATTCTCCAAAGCAACAGTAGCCACGTGTCCAGTTTTATTCTTCTTCTCGTTTTATACTTCGTTGAATCTGGTAAGCATGGCATTGCACCCTGGTAAGCATGGCTTCAGCCTCAGTCAAATTGTGTGGGATTCACCGAGAGCACAGCTTTTTTACACCCATATGTTTGTGTAATTGACTGTATTTGACTCATGCCTATGCCTAAAGATGCCCGAATCTCATGGTATGTCACATGCCTGTCTGTTTTGATCATACGGTGCACAGAAGCGATGTTTTTGTTGTTCACAGTAGTGGACGGGCGACCATCACAAAATTACACTTAAAGTGGTAGAAAAGCATACTACTAAAATTTTCACGAGTTAAATCCATGGTGATGTAGACAACCAATTTCTAAAATGATGCCACAATATAAAAACAACTGACAGTCAGATGAAACAAACTGTATTCTACAGCAAAAGAGTTCCATTTTCAAATGTTGTAATTACTTTTTAAATATTGTCTATGTAAGTGGCCAGTTCCGGAAACTTATAGTGCGCCCTATGTATCTCATTCCTACCAACTTAAACCATAGATTTGAGTGTATAACTAAACTGGCTAACAATATTGACAATGTTTACCGTTGCAAGAACATCTATGAGATCAGTTGTGGTTTCAATCTTGAATTTAGGCAAGGATACGTTGACATCCAATTTGCTCATTTCCAATGTGGCTAATTTCAAAGCGGAAGGAATTTGGAGTTTTTCTACGTGAGCATCAAGGCTGTCAATTTCTTTATGCAGAATCATGACAAAAGAGCCGTCATATCCTGAAAAGGCAGCTCCAACACTCAAAGAGATGATTAGGGTAAAACTTCCATTAAAAGAGGAATTAAAGTGGTGGTGATTTTATTTATAATACCCTGATGAAGGATTTATATACAAATTATTATGATACTAATACTTCATGCAGTCGCAGATGAAATTTGTTTATTTATTGATTGAATATCATGATGTTCTATTATCATGATATTCACATGTTGTTTAGTGAAAATACACCATTATACTACAAAGGTTTAGGTAAATAACTAAAAAAAACAAGCAGCAATGACGTATTTTTATGAGGCAATACGTGGTTACTTGTTGTAAAATTACAATGAACTTTTTGAAAATGGTTCTAAATATACGATAATATTTTCAGGTAGGAGATAACATTTCGAATTACCTATTTAAAATAGTACTAAATATATAATATAAATATAATATTTGAATGAAGTTCTTTAATATAATAATACACGTATCACTACTTTCCTACTTTTTGTGGTCTGTGTTTCCTACGATAAACAACCTAAAATCCAGCCTTAATGCTCTGGCCTCACAGGCGGCCGCTGAAGCGTCCCGGACGCGGGAATTTTTGTAATATATGAGTTCATATGAACCGTGGCACACAGAAACGCGCGGCGCCGCGGCTGCCTATGACAGCTAATAACATGCGACCAAATTGAAACTCACTACTTAATATTGTATTTGACCGGTTAAACAAGTGACAGCTGAAGTTTGTTTATTTTTGGTTAATTACATATACCTTTAGGGCACGTTTATTCGACACGAATTCCATCGAGCACACGCCGCGCGGATACCGCGTGACTGCCGCGCAGCGACCGCGTGCTCCTTAACTGTCATGGCAAAATACGCTCTACTTGTTTAGCTTTCACGTTTAAACTTAAAAGAGCGTCCCGAGAGCGTGAGTGTGACTGGCTTATCTTTGATCTACGCGGCGGCCGAGCGGTTGTATTATTCCGAGAAATTTAAATGTTGTTCCTTCATTAATGTAACTAAAAGCACGGTAACTGGGCGCTTATACGTTGTGTAACTAGGCGCTTATACTAAAGTTTTTTATTATTATTAACACATATTTGTTTATTTAGTATACTTGAGCATTCAACTCATCGTTATCAAAATAATTGAAGTCGGTTCGTTTGTGTATCATTGGTACCTTAATTGTTTTGTCTACGGAGACATAAAAGTCTTTCTTCTTTGTGTTTTCCTTGTCGAAAGGAAAGTTCCATTGACCCTGTATTTTTTAAACATTATATAAGTAGTAATATAAACATGTCATTTACTTTTTTAATATCAATGACTCCATGAATTATAAAAATTGAAGCGTGCGTTTCTGAATTTTTAGAGTAGAGACTTTCATTGTACTTACCTTGAAATAAGTAGCGCCCACAAGAACACTGCGGGTGTCGGGACCTATGTCATCAGCTGTCAATCTTTGATACGGTTGTTAGTTTGATCTTCGACCTATAGACGTAAACATAAATTATCTAGTATTTAGGATAGGATGGCACTATTTACCCAATTATTAAATTCATTTGCTGTTTCAGTTCTCTTCGCTAAATCTAAGTTCTTTATTCAGGCTTGAAGACCTCTCTGGTGACGGCAGAAATTTTTCGAAAATTCTATTCGGATTTCTGTGTAATATATATTTTGCTAACTGTTTTGAGCTGGATACCTTTTGGTGATTGGAACTTGTCGTCCAGGTGAGGAACAGTTTTTGTCTGAAAATGAAAAAACATGTTAATCGAAATCTAGTTCTAGAGATTTCGCCTATGCAAACGCAGAAATAAAATAACGTGATTCGTAATTAACGTGAATCACTGATAGTAAAATGTTCTGTGATCAAGATCTTATTTCGGCCGAAGACACCAGATACCGTCAGAATTTCAGAACTCAGTACAGCAGCTTTCTGAAGCAGTTTCAGATTAGAATGCTCTACCCACTCCTCTAGTACCATTTGTAGCAGGAATACTTTTAAGCGCAAGCCTAACATTGTCCAAAATCTATTTAATTATACTTGTTTTTTTATATTAGTTTCTCGATATACATATACACATACATGTGTATTTTCTTACCTATATACATACATTTATACACACATAATAAATAATACTTGATGATAATAATAATGCTACCGAAATTAGGTAGAGAAAACTTGCCTGAAAAAAATTGCCTTGTTTATGTGAAACGTATGTGTTTTTATTGTAGTTTTTGTTTCGTTTGTGAGTAGTTTTCTATTTAAGTATTTATGTTTTATGTTTCAATGGTTTTGTTTTTCTTCTGTTTTGCTTCTTTTACTTTTCTTTTGTGGTGTCATTTGTGGCAAGGAAATAATAGTTATTCCTTATGCAAAGTCAGAGAACAAATAAGTAATGAGAACGGACACTCTCCGCCCCTCCCTCGCTTTAGATACCGCACCACGCCTCGCACATTGACGGTTACATTGACTGAATGAATACAAGGCTGTCGGCGAGCTTTTTTCGCGCTAAGACGGCTTTGATGTTTGAATATAGTTTTCATTTATTCATTACGAAATTTGTACGTTAATATAATATAACATCATTTTACTTTACTATTTATAATGGTCATGAATTGTGCTGTATACGGCTGCTTATAATCATCTAAACGGCATATAGAGAGGAGTTTTTGTCGTTTTTTGAAGAAAAGAAGTAAATAAAAAATGTCTGAGACTCATTCAGTTATTGTTTTCTTTAGTGTAGAGTAATATATAATACAGATTTATTATATCAATATTATAAGACGCGATAACTTCATGAGCTAGACAAGGGTTCTAGAGTTTTCAATTTGTATTGCCGATAAATATTACGTAGTAAATACACCTAATTATTAACTAGGTAATGATAAAGTTGGACACGCAATTTCAAATACTTTGGTTACCTTATTTAAAGGTACCTGTCCAAAACATAACATTTTAAGAGCTTTTAATATATTTTTTTAAATAAATCTTCAATATTATTCTAGTTAGTCAATTAATAAAAAATATAATATTATATCGATATAAATACGTAATGAACACGTATAATTATTAGGATTCTATAATAGAATTATAGATATCAGATTCGCGTTAGAATTTTCGCTATGTTGCCGCTCTGACCACGTAACGTAATAGTACGAGCAAGTGATGAGTAACCCTGCCACTTCACGCACACATTCGCGCGTGTGCAGATAGCGCCTTGCTGTATGTAGTAGTAGTAGGTAAATAATTTTCGACCGTTGTATGGAATGTCCGGGGTGTGGCAAGATTGCAGAGTTGTTGTTTGACGCGAGTGCTTGTATTGAAACCTGATCAAGCATAGGATTCTAAGACAATCCTGAGTATAGCGAAGGTTTCAACGCATGAGACGCAAAACAACTTTGCTGCCGAGCGAAACACACAACTATTCACCTCACTATAACGAGGAAAATGGTAAATGAAAGAAAAACAGTTGAACTGTAACAAATCAGTTTTATTAAACAAAATTAGTTGTCGTTGTCAATTTAATGTCAACAATAATAAGAATAAAATATACCAACGGATTTTTATTACATAAATAATGTACGACAAATCGCGAAGTTGAAAGTGTCATTATGATTTTATTTCATCGAAAGAATAAGTTAGGTACACCACAGTCCATCGTCAAGTTTGAATTTCAAAAACCTTTTCCAGGCTAGCGGGGAAAAAAAAGGCTTTTTCGCGCAGATTTCTTGTAAGAAAGAAAGCCTTTTCGAGCTAGCAAGATGTAAATATATTTTCTTTGCTTATTTATTTTCCTTCAATTTATTTACAGCATTATCGCCGGGGAGACCAATGGCCTTAAGAAAGTCATTGTGGCATGCGCCTTCTGAAGCCAGGCTCAGTTGGGCCGAAGTAGTCAACACAGACAATGCAGACAATACACACTTTTATCCAGGTTGTTCTTTACCATTTCCTGTAACACAAAAAGCTTTTTTATTGCCTATACCGGTGAAATTCGGGCGTGATGATACGTATATGTGTATGAATTTAATAACGCCAAGGTAAATATGCTATTTCTTGATTTTGTATTGTAACAATTTAAATTCGAGCTAAGATAGTATTGACTCTTAATAAAATAAAATATTTTGAAATAGAAATTTTAAGTCAACTTTATAATGACCATGCGGTTTGGGTTAGCGGTAATTTCATCGGTAAAAATCTAAAACATTTAAAAAATAAATATCTCACTAATAAATTATGTATGGTCCAGCTGTCTACATTCTTTTACCATCTTTCGGGTAGGTAAGTTTAGTATGCTCGTTTGAAACAAAATCCTTACACAGCTTTACGTACCGATTGATAGACTCTTCGTTACTACGACAAGTAACCCAATACAAAACATGCAATACTTCATGTTCTTTCTCAGTTTTGACTCTGTTTTAACCGACTTCAAGAAAAGTAGGAGGTTCTTAATTCGACCGCATGTTTTTTGTATGTACGTTACGCGATAACTCATATGTGAACCGATTTTGATGATTCTTTTTTTGTTGGAAAGAGGGTACCTCAGCGTGACCGTTAGGATGGCTGGTCGCCTGTCGCATCTGCACTGAGTCTATATTCAAGAATTGCTACCTATTTGCTACCTTTTCTAAATAATTGCTACCTTTGATATATTCTGAGAAATAAAAATAATAATTGACCAGCCATTCTGACGTCAGGATGGCCACTTTGTTCAGCATGAAGGGAGCAGATTTTCCAGAAGTATATATTACCAATAATTGCTACCTATTTGCTACCTTCACGAATTAAAGGTATACGCTTATTAATTGCTTATTATTAATGTAGATAACATTAGTTAACAAATATAACTGATTGAAAATTTTACGGAGAAGTGCCTGATTAAATTAAAAAAGCAAAAGTTTTTAGTGCTTTATTGCCATAATACAAAGGACAGGCATTGGTACTTCTTTGTAAATCGTAATAATGTGTTTATAAGATTCAAATTAAAATCTTAACGCAAACACGAAAGTTAAGTTTACATATTTGAAAACATACACTAAGGCCCTAGAAATATTCAGTTTCTTGACATGGTTTGTAGTCTAATAGAGGGCAAAAATCTAAGAACGGAGCCTCTGAGTCGAGCGAGGTATGACATGAATTCTCTTTTTACACATTCCGAAACCTTTTTTGCGTTCATGTTTAATGTATTTTTCATGTATAGTTTCCTGTATGTATGTTTTGTACCTATATAGTTTTTGTTTTATTGACAAAAATGCGCAAGTAAAGACCGTCCCCTTTCTGAATGTGATTTAGCTATAAATCTGAATAGCTAGTGCTTCGTCAAGAAAGATATTGAATAAAGTGATATTTATAAATTCCAAAATATTTTTATTTTTATTGCTATTTACTTTCTCCAAAAAATGTCTTATTCACTTAAAATAGGGTAAGTAAGTACACGAACCTATTTCTGCAGCCAACCAGTAATATCAGCATTTCTGTGGTCCGGTTTCCGGTTAAGGGTAAGGGTGCTGGTGAAATTACAGGCACATGGGACTTGTCAACTTATGTCTCACGGTGACGGGCGCAGTGGCAGGACCCTTCAGATCTTTGCGATTTAAAGCTCTGAGTAGCACTGCAACTGTTATGGACTTGCGCGTAGCTTACCGTCAGGCGCACGACTTTTTCGTCCCGTCACTTGATATTTATTATAAAAAAAGTAAGTGTTGGCAGTAAAATATGTTTGTATATAGGTTTGAGTCTAGTATTATCTATTCCTGTCAGAGGTTTCAGAACTTCAAATGGGTTTACTGTGAAAGTTTTGTACTGCAACAACAGTAAACAATTTCCTTTATTTAGTCTTAAGTAATACCCTGGGAAATATATAGTATATCCAAATAAGGTTGACAATTTTGTTATACAATCTCGTAATATATATAGTATCTTCGTTATGCTTCGGTAACTGCGATTTCTGAATTCTGGCAGTTGGTGCAGTGGAGTATTCAGAGCGCCTAGAAGAGCGCTGAAGACTGAGCTCAATAAAGAGAGGCATTAAAAACTTTTATCCAATGGATTAAGTTTTGGCTGAGAATTACGGTATGTATAGTAGAACCCTGGATTTCATAACAAATACAAAATAAATACAAAATTATTTATTTTTCTCCTCACAAAGCTAGAGGACACGTATTAAGATTAAGGTATTTAGTATTAGTTACATTTGTGGGAGACTGGAGTCTAAACTAGGTCTAGCCGCGTGTAGTACAACACATCAAGTGGATCATGAAGAGACAAGAGAGACTTCATTAAACATTATATTAATCTTAGAGCTAAATCCAAACTCATAGTACCACGATTTCGTTTAACCAAGGTAAACGACTCTTTTATGGGGAACTGTATACGTTTTTACAATAAGATTTCGGACCAATTAAGATTATCATTTCCTAAGTTTAAAAACTACATCAACAATTTAACAAAAAACAATTGTAAACATAACTTCATCAATATGTTTCAATTGACGTGGCCTACGGTCACGGTTGACAGTCAACCTGTAAAGGGTTCGAAACATTGGTTTGTTTGAAAACTAAATACACGTAATTTAAATCCGGAAAAATAGTTTCATTTCTTAAATACAGCAGAAATTTGGTAGTATCGAGATATAAAGTAGGTAGGTATAAGGGTGGTGTATACTTGTTTTTCAATGGAATAACAAAATGTGCCTAGTATGTACCTACTTTACCTGTAACGAAAAGGCAACAATTGGCGCATACTGCCCACGTCCATATGTACACGTATTTTGTATTTATATTTTTTTATGTATGTGCACCGTGTTCTTATGTATCCATGACGTCGAGTTTATGTCTAGCTCTTTGCTACGGATTATTTTTATTCGATAATTATTTTTTTTATGATACTAAGTGGCGGGACAAGTCGTGCGTCTGGTGGTAAGCAACACGCCTATCCATAACAGTTGCCGTGCCATTCAGAGCTTCAAATCGCAAAGACCAGAGCACAGCCACTGCGCCTGTCACCCAGGCACATAAATGTCACACAGCCGTAGTTTTTATTTAATTCTTGGACAAACTAGAGTTGCCCCCAACTATCAAATCGTTCAATATTAAGTAACGTGTGAAATTTGTAAAAAATTGTTTGCTATTGATATTAGAATTGAGGTCGAATCAAATTGTTGTTTTTCAGAGATGTTCGAAATTTGAATGTAATAATAAAATCGAATTTGATGTTTTATGCAATAATAAAATTTTCACAGATAAGAAATTTGTTTTAACAAGTCCTAACAGTTTATCTTTATGCCTGTGAGAGGGTTTATGTTAATGTGTGTAGATAAAGTAACTTTTATACCATCACAAGAATATTTCATGTTTTATTAAAGAAGTTTCAGAAGAAATTTGAAACGAAACGATACAACAATTTAAAAAGATTGCAATCAATTGATTTCGTATTATAATACTCTATACTTTACGGGTAGTATGATTTTTTTTAATGTAGACACTTAATTTGAAACGTTTTCTCAAGAGTTTTAAGTAAATTGAAAGTCCGTCATATACATTTGAACAAATAATCCAGTATAAGTCCGGATAAGACTGCTCAGCTATTCTTGTTTCCATTCTTTATTTCGTAGAAAGAAATTACATAATGCTATTTCAATTGTTGGGTAATATTATATTAATTACTATGATAGGTACGAAGTTGGTTGGTGGATGATTGAGAGTAAACTTGTAATTAATTCGGTGTGAATTTGAATTCTGCTTGAATTTGAATCCACCTCGGAATTAAGGTGCATTACAAAAGGTTGTAATAACACAGTAAAATTGTTTTCTTTGTAAAAGGTAAATTAGAATAAAGAAAAGGTAATTTTTTATGTTAAGAGAATATAATAACACTTGTTCTATAATAGGAACTGATTTTATTTTGTGTAAAAAAGTCGGATTATTAAATTATGATCTTACAGGTCTCTGTGAATAGCGTAGCTCATACAGTTGTTAAACAAATGATCTACTTACTCGAATTTATATGATATACTTTGAGAACTTTGAAAAAAAGAGGAATTCTGATATATCAGGATGGCTGGTCAACTTTTTTCAAAGTTCTCAAAAATCGTAGGTAGCAATTACTAAGGTAGCAAATTGGCAAATAGGTAGTAATTCTTGAATATACACTCAGTATCAGACGCCACAGGTACATAGCCTTTTTGACGCACACAAATAATCAAACTACTGTATATGCAGGTGCTGGACAATGTTTGAATTATGATAATGGTACCCTCTTTAAATACTAATTAGTATGTAAAAGTCAAATGTTCATTAATTCTGTTGACATTTCATTATTTTTATGATTTCTACGAGTGGCAGTGGGGCAGGAGTTGTTTGCAAGAGTGCCGATGGTGCAGAGTTAAGCTAGAATGGCGACCACGTCAAGGCAAACGTAGTATAGGACGCTCTGCGGCAAGATGGTCGGACGACCTGAGAAAGGTGGCTGGCAGCGTCTGGATGCAGGCGTCGCAGGACCGGGAGTGTTGGCGTGCTCAAGGTGCTCATTTTCAGCAGTGGATGCGAGTAAGCCGATGACGATGATGATTACAATCTCTTGATATTTAGAGCCCGCCAACGACCGGATGAGGAGGTCTTGGATTCGAGTCTTGGTAGGATCAATTCGAGAAATGAAGTTTTCCTATTGGTTCTGGTTTAGGTGTTCTGGGAAATGCCTTGGAGAGAATTTCGTTGCTCTGGTACTCGTAGTACAGGTAGGGCTCCGTCACTCGCTCAAGGTTATGCGATAAGTGCCTAATGCGAGTGCGCCAACGTCGGTGCAAGCTCTCCTACAAAGCTTTCATTTATAAGCATTCGGTTTCGCAAGACTGCACACTTCGGGCAAAGTTATTTTCACCTCTCTGAGCGCGTGCTTAGGTTCCTTTTTCTACGTAGTGAGCGGCTGGTGTCATTAGTTAGATTTAGTAGGCTATTATAGCGTAGGTATTTTCGATTTGTATGAGGGTGATGTATCTGTTACGTAGTAACTATTAAGTAATGTGTGGTACAGGGAACTTCCTAATTTGAGACCAGGTAACAATTGGCCTGGCACATTAATATTATTAGTAATAATAAATGACATTCTGACTTTATACTTTTATACTTTATACTTTACTATTTTATACTTTACTTTTTAAATAACGTATGTAGTGATGAAGAAAACCAGTGTTGTAGACTAATTTGAAACATTTATTTACGGCAATAATAATGAAAATAAAATTAGGCATTTAATTTTTTCAAATCGATATATTCGAATAATACGTTTTAAAACAATCGGATTGTTTCTCGCCCTGAAAAATAAAAATATAGTGTCAGTGTCGAAATGATTAATGATCGTTAAAAACTAACTAGTGTTTTCATTAGAAGGTAAAAAAGCAACTTGTACAATAGATTAAAATCATCGTTCTTAAATTTTCCTAAAAACGTAATTTTTTAATATTTTCTCAAATATTTAGGTAGGAGCTTCTGAATATACAAGGTTATTTGTAAAATGCTAAAAACCGCGTAGAATTATATTACTACTAACATCATAAACAACAACTTGTTCCATAGCTTTTGATAATTTATCAGATTACAAAAATAAAAATATTTAAATAAATCGCTCCAAACGGTGATAACTCTATGCGGTAGCAAAAGAAAGTGCTAGCGTAAATAGTCCAATGCAAAACGCAGGACGGAGGTGGGGGTCTTCGGGGTGGACGCTTGCACGTTTGAACCTTACTACCAAATACAGATCAAAAATGTGTCAGATTGTACAACAAAAACTTAAAACTTTGTTTTTGGTAAATTATGTTTTAAAAAGTGGAACAAAAGTTGTTTGATTGTGATGTTAGTAATATAGTCCTACGTGATTGTTAGTATATTACAAATAACCCGGTATATTCAGAAGCTCCTACCCAAATATTTGAGAATATATTAAAAATTATATTTCTGGCAAAATTTTAGGACCGATGAATTTAATCTATTGTACAAGTTGCTTTTTAACCTTCTAATGAAAACACTAGTTGGTTTTTAAAGAATGTAGTCCTAGGAGGATGTTAGAATTTTACAAATAACCTTGTATATAGAAGCTCCTACAAAAATATTTATGTACTAAAACAAATTAATACATATTGTACCATTTCTGTAAATGCATTTTCGAGATATTCAACACTAACGCAGGCTGTCGGTATAATTCTCATTAGAAACGTGCAAGTAAGTAACATAATAAAAACGATATGGTTATAGGTACTCGATGTGTTAATGTGACTAAATGAAATTAGAAAAATTAATGACAGCTGTTACACATGACGCCAATGCGTCGTTAAAACGGGTGTATCTAATAGCTTAAGGTTTAAAACATCGAGTATATAACCACAAATAGAGACGAAATGTCATTTAATTTGTTTGAAAACTAGTCTGCCAAATCATTACCGTGACAACTGCGCTCCGATTGGCCAGCCCGACTTCGAAACAATTGACGGGTGTCGTCAATTGTTTAACTAGAGCTTTGCTATAATGGACGAAAATTGCAAAATTAATATTTAATTACCGATGAAATATGATTCCGTTTGTTTTGTAATTACATATTTTGCTGTTTTCCCACATCACCGAGTGGAACAGCCCCCATTGTTAGAGATATTTATCTTTATTACAATAAATACAGATTATTTTTGGAATATACGGAGACGTACACACAGGCCAGTTGTTGGCACTGTACTGTTTCAGCTTTCTAATTTGTAATGTCAGTGCAAACGAGAGTTGATATTTAAAAGTGATTTGAGGTCCATTTGCCTGATAACTTGCCAGGGATGGCTCTTATTTCGTCTCTATTTCTGGTTATATACTCGACCGTTCAGAGACACAATGCTGTAATGGCTGCGCGGTGCATGTGTAAAAGCCTTTGGGCAATAAAAGTGTAACAAGCAAATGTCAGTATATAGTAAAATAGAGAAGTATGATCTAGTCTATTAGTGCGATGCGCCCCATACACGAAAAATGTAAGAGCATTTACACACAGCCATTTTTAGCAGAGCGTCTGCAGGGATTCAGTCGCGATACAAACGCGATGCAAACGTGATGACTAAACATAAGCGAGTAATGCAAACGCGCGATTGCATTGATGCAACCGCCTCTAAATCGCAAGTGTCGCGATGCAAACATGCGTTTCACAAAGGCGCGTTTGTATCGCTGCTGAAAGTAGCTTTATTTATTTATTTTAGTTTTAAACAATTAGAATAAGAAATTTAAAACTGTATTTCAACATTAGCACGTTTAATATTAATTTTTTGAATTTTTCCTAATAAATGAATATTACCTAAGAAATGAACACTCCGTTAAAAATAGTGTTTTGATGTTCCCTCAATAAAAATATGAAGGCACGATCAGCGCGGAACGTCGCTTGCGGTGTACGTAGCTGAGCTCTCATAAATAACACTTCGAAGGCTGTAATAATTTATTTATTATGTTCATTAAAATACAATTCAAAATCACAGAAATATATAAACAAGGCATGCACTCATACCCCACACGGGGGAAACCATGTATCGCGGGTGCCATGGACACACACATAGACAACCACATTTTACACCCGAGAGAAACCTATGTAGGCCGTACAAATATTTCTCCCGGCCCGAGAATCGAACCCGGGACCTCTGCGTGGCAGTCCAGCATGGTAACCTTTCGGCCACGGAGGCAGTTAATATAGTACTTACTCCAAAATATTTTTACAATGTTCAGAATAATTTGAACCATAACACATTAATAAGAATAATTTTGATAAGTTTATTTTTGTGTTTGTGTGTTACACAAAATCTGTTACGAAAATCACAATCTGATCACATTGACGACTGCTTTTTCCAGTAAAGAGACTTTTATATGAATAAAAATTAATATTAGACAATATACATAGGTCTGATTCCAATTTAAATGGAATGGAATGGAGATTCCGAATCGTAACGTAAATAAAGAGAAGAGTTTTCCTATTCATAGAGAAAAAAAAACTTACGGTTCGCAGCAGTTGCTTCAGCACCTTCTTCATTTACTTCGATGAATGCCTTTTGGGTGGCTTTACTCAAGTACAAGAGTTCGTCGGTCTTCAACAAACGATTCAACTTGGCTTGTGTAGCGTGGAAAATACGTTTTACATCCATCTGAGAACATATAAAATAAATACACTGAACAGCCTTTAAATCTGTATAAAGCACAAGTTCGATCGTGTATGGAGCACTGCTGCCATCTTTGGGACGGCTCTGCCCATTACCAGTTAGCTGCCTTGGACTCAGTGGAGCGAAAAGCAAAGAGACTTATTAACAACAATTCTCTTGTAGAGTCGAAGCTACAAAATCACGACCATCGCAGAAGAGTAGCCTGCTTGTCGGTTTTCTATCGGATACATTTCGGGGAGTGTGCGCAGGAATTTTTCAATTTAGTTCCACCCTCACCGTTCCTCCTTCGGTCGACTAGAAGGTCCGGAGCACTCCATTCTTATGTCGGTGATATTCCACCTATTCGCACTAAGCGCTTTGCTTCCTCATGGAATGTTCTGTATTTCCCGAAAAGTACAATTTGGGGCTATTCAGGCCTAGAGTGAATACGCATTTTTTAGGGAAACGCGTCTCATCGTCGGTCACATCGTCACTTAACATCAGGTGAGATTGTGGCCAAGCTATGTGTCTATTACATATTGATGATAATTATAAATAATTTTACAAACATTGTAAATATTGTCTGTTTTAATTTTTCATTTAAGAATAAAGTATATCCTTTTTTTTTTAAAGTATATCCTAAGTAGTAACTTTTAACAAAAGGTAAAATTGCTCATTTATATGCTACACAACGTACACGTGTGTCTTGTTTGCGACTTCTCTTTGTTTATTTGTACTTACGTTTATTCCTGTATGTTTACTGTGTATTACGTTTCAATGATATTAATATTGTGTTTATGTGACTAATGTACTCACTTCATAAGTAATGTCTGTAATGTATGCGTCTATAAATAAGTAAGTATGTATTATCAAGACTTTTTAATATATAATAAAATCGTAATATTTAAGTGAAACTATATAGCCTACAATAATATATCATATTATATTATGTGATAAATTTTCAAAAAGATTATGTTTCTGGTTTGACGGTGTTGGTTTGTGTTCAATGGAGCAGCAAGTATGTAGAAAAGAGTATATACTGTCTTAGCTCTAATTTACATTTTTCCCGACGTAATACGGTTCATTGTGCTCTGGTCGAGCGGCAGGGATACTTTTTTCAGAACTTATTCTTTTACAAACGAAATTAAAGCCAATGAAAAATGTAGGTATATCGTATAGTATACGTGTCCTATTTAATTCAGTTGATATAAAAAAAATCGTTGGTATATGTAAAATACCTATTGAATACAGCGGTTTTCTTGTAAAATATCGTGATAAGTTTGAGTTTATTTTTATCGCGAAAATTTTTAGGAATCGTGTTTTCACACCATATAGTAATCAGTGGATATCATCAAATTCACTATATATTTTTTCCAAGTCAATTGATTCAACTCTTTTCATTGTTATGCGAAATCAATAAAAGCCATTTTAGGCAGTATAGACTCTTAAAGAGAAACTCGAAAATTTAAATGTAGGGTACGGAAATTTCGACTTTTCGTTGTCTAGAACACAAAAGCAAAGTTCTTACAATCTTTTAATGTTTTTTTTTGTTCTGGGTATATACCCAGAAACAAAAATCGTGTCATATGGTGGTGAAAATTGGCTAACTACAATTGTTACATTATTGACTGTACTTACGTTTTGAAGAACACTACCAAGATCAGTTTCGGTTTCAATCGTGAATTTGGGCATAGATACGTCGACTTCAAAAGTGCTCATTCTCGATATGGCTAATTCCAAAGCGGAAGGATCTTTGAGTTTCTCTATGAGAGCAGCAAGACCGTCAACTTCTTTGGGCAGAATTACAATGAAAGAGGCTTCTCGTCCTTCGTAAGGTAGCTCCAATAACTGGAATAATATTTTTACCATACAGGTTTATTTTTAAATAAGTGTACGTGAATACAAAGTAACTAAGTAGCTAACAGATTGGTGGTGATTTTATTTAATAATTGAGCTTTTTTTATAATACCAAGTGACGTAACGAACAAGTCGTGTACCTGGTGGTAAGCGACACGCCTACATAACAGTTGCAGTGCGACTCAGAGCTTTAAATCGCAAAGACCTTAAAGGCACTGCCACTGCGCTCGACACCCTGAGACATAAGTTACTAGTCCCATGTTCCTGTAATTTCACCAGCACCCTTCCGAATTGGAATCGATAATGCTCACATTACTGTTTGGTGGCAGAAATAGGTAAAGTGGCAGCATTTCCCTGGACGAACTCTTGGACAAGGAGTTCACTGCTACTGTTATGCTGACGAATGATATAATGTAAATATCAAAATAATGCATATACTAATAGTTTGTATTTTAGACGGTAGATAAAATTAGGTTAGTTATTTTACCTCAGCATTCAACTCGTCACTATCAGCATATCTGAACTTGCCTCGTTTGTGCATCATTGGAACCTTGATTGTTTTGTCTTTGGACACGTGGAAGTCTTCCTCTTTCGTGTTTTTGTTATCGAAAGGACTGTTCCATTTACCCTTAAAATTTTTAAACACATTTGATTTCGTCACTTGCAATGTAATAGAAAAATGTTGCGATTTGAAATTTACAAATATGGCATTTTTTTAAATATCACTCTCTTTGTGTAGTAAGTGAATTTTTGTAATTCGAAGTTTCTCTACTTAAACGTACAGGTGATTTTCAATTCATTTGTACATCCAGCACTTGCTTACCTTGAAATAAATAGCGTTCACAAGTATACTGCGGTAATCAGGTCTTAAGTAATTAGCTGCCACAATATCTTTAATATGATTGTTGGTTTGCTCTTCAACCTGTAAAGGAATCGGACTTTAAAATAACAATTGTTAAACAACAAACCTCTAGTATTTATTATTTAGCATAGGATGGAACTGTTTACCCAAGTATTAATTTCCTTAGCAGTTTCCTCGTTCATGTTGAAATCTACATTCTTCACTTCTGAATTGAAGATATCTCTGGTGACGGCAGAAAATTCCGGATTTAACTCGTAATGCTCAGCAACATATATTTTGCTAACTGATCTGAGCTCAATTCCTTTTACATTTCGTAACTTATCATTGAGACGAGGAAATACACTTTTTATCTAGAAGAAAAAAACAAAACCAATCAACAGCAATCCGTTTGAGATCGTTTTATGTAAACGTACAAAATAAGCAAAGGTCAAGATAATCTGGGTTCTGATATAGTTAAGTAGACATCTATTAGTATTTACGTACAGCGTTATCATCGGGAAGACCAACAGCCTTGAGAAGCTCATCGTGAGACTCCCCTTCCGACGCCAAGCTAAGTTGGGCTAGAGGAGTCAACACAGAGAAAGCAGATAACACCACACTTTTATCCGGATTGCCCTTTACCACTTCCTGTAACACAAAAATGCTTATGTTTTATCAGGCTCAAAGTTTCAAAAGGTGTGTCATGTTCTTTTCGTATGAAAATTATTAGAAGAAATTTGAGACTTTTTTATAATATCAAGTGACGGAACTAACAAGTCGTGCGCCTGTTGATAAGACAACAGTTGCAGTGTCACTCAGAGTTTTAAATCGCAAGGATCTGAGGGCACTGCCACTGTACCTGTCACCCTGAGACAAGTTGACAAGTCCCATGTGCTTGTAATTTCACCAGTTCTTTCCTGCAGTTGACTTATGCGAACGACGCCCAAATTTATTGACTCGTCTGTCATAATGGATTCGCTAGTACAAACATATTAGAAACGATTTAGATCAGAGTATTTGCATAATTCGACAACGCGTGAAAATGGGAATATACCAAAACCTAATATTGTTGGTACCGTGGCATTGTCGAATGTAAAGAACGCTCTACCCTTATAGGGGACCTTGGGTGTTTATATATTACGTGTTTTTATGTATATTCAGCTGTATTTGGCTAGAATATCTTCAAGTTTACACCCATGGAAAAGCGTTTGGCTACACTATAACATATAGTAATGGAAAAAGGCTTACAGAGAACATCCTTGCTGTGAATCGGTTGTTTGCCTCCGTAAAGAGATTGTCCAGTTGTTCCACTTCTTGCTGAGCTATGACTGCAGCTACGAGTACCGATACTGTAATGTAAAGACTTAAAATTATTTATTGATTTACAAATGTCAGCATGTTTGAGACCAGGCAATTGGTGTAGTTGTTTGGCATATTATTAATGAGTTAACGGAAAGTGGGTGAAATCCAATAAACAGTATTCACAACCTAATTTGCCACCCTTACAGATGGAATATTCTCTTTAAATTTAAATGGGACTACTACTAAAATATTTCCTTTCCAAGACAAAAAGAATCATCGAAATCGGGTTACAAATGCCGGAGTAATAGCAAAACATATAAAAAAAAAATACAGTCGAATTGAGAACCTCCCTCTTTTTTTAAAGTTGGTTAAATATATTTTTTATTCTTGAAAAAGTTATTTATTCAATTTCAAGCAAATTTTATAAAAAACGACTCTTCTTTATCGCTAGGTAAAAACTTAGTGGTTTAACCACCTAGCGATGAGCTAACAAGCTCGACACTTAACTTAATTATCTATAATATTAATTAATTCCACAGTATATGTCTACATTTACATAAGTACTATAGATGTGTAATGTCTCGTTAAAATAGTTTTGCATTTCTTGACATTACCCTCAATGTTACTTAGCGCTGTGCCTGGTAGATCGTTCAGAATTTCTGGTAGTATGTAGTCCGGCCTGTGCATTCCATAAACGTTGTATCCCGGTAAAGTATACGTTGTATAAAAGCGAGCGCAAATCTTCAGAATCTTCAGAAATGATCGTATTCATGACATACGAATAGCATTTTAACTTTGGCAAATACATTTAAAACTCTACAGTAACCAAATAATTTGTCATAGTTATCCTTAAATTTTGATTTTATATGTGATGCGACAATTGAATGAATATCAATTAGTAAAGTAATCTTAGAGATAGTGTGAGTGTCGTATCCTATTGCGTTAACACCTTTACTACCTCAGCACGAATTATTCTATTTATTCCCGTACTGATACGGTTCATTTTGTTTGGTTCGAGCGGGTAGGGACACTGGCTTTAAAATAAAAAATTAAAATAAGTAATAATAATACTAAAAATAACGCACAAACTCAACATAGCCCTGCACTAGGGAAACCCTGTGTCGCAGGTGCCATGGACACACACATAGACAACCACAAATTACACCCAAACTCACGAGAGAAGTAAATGTAGGTCATACAAATATTTCTCCCGGCCCGGGAATCGAACCTGGGGCCTCTTCGTGGCAGTCCGCCATGGTAACCATTCGGCCACGGAGGCAGTTATTATTTTATTTCAGAATTTATTTTTTACAAACCAAATTAAAAAAGCCAATTGGAAAAATGTATATCATATAGTACTCGTGTTCTATTTAGTTTAGTTGATATGAACAAAAAACCATCATTGGTATATGTAAAGTATCTACTGAATAATTAGTAACATTTCGAGGTAAGTTCCGTTTTTTTTTCTATCGTTTAGGAATCGTGTTTTCACACCATATAGTAATCAGTGTATATTCTCAATTTTACTACGCATATATTTTTTCCATTTTCTATGCGGAATCAACCAAAGCCATTTGAGGTAGTTAAACTTTTAAGTCTGTGTGCCCTTCATTCTATAAAATAATACCCAAAAATTTAACTTTTAAATTACCCATCGTAATTTCTTGTAAACAACCACAATCCTCCACGCAAATAGCCTAAGTTATACAAATTAATATATGTAGCAGACATTGCATTCCCGTAGGCTGCACGACAACAACGTCTGTAAACAATACTTAACATTCGAGTTTAACGGGTCGTTAATTGAAACTTATCTCGTGTAGATTGTCGGCCGGTACTACAAATAAGGTTATAATAATTATGTACTCATCTTACACAATATCGCCACTCGATGTAATGAATAGAATATATATCTAACCTGTGTTTTCACAAATAAATGAATTATTATTATTATTAATAATGTAAAATAATTTAATATCATAATATTTTTTTATGATACCAAGTGACGGTACGGATAAACCGCGCGCCTGATTGTAAGCGACACGCCTGTCCACAACAGTTGCAGTGTCTCTCAGAGCTTTCAATCACAAAGATATGAGGGGCACTGCCACTTTGACCATCACCCTGAGACATAAGGTGGCAAGTCACATGTGTGTGTAATTTCACTAGCAACCTTATACTTCAAAAGCGAAACGCAGTAACGCTCACATTGCTGCTTGGCGGCAGGTAGACGCTAGACGAACTCTTTCACAAGGAACTCTACTGCTATTTAATGGATTTGTACTGGCTATATGTCGCGTTACAATGTCACTGGAAGGAAAAGCAGTTTGTCTTTTAGTTCTGGAAAATATATCTTCTTTTTAGACGAGACCTTATAGTTCTGGGATCTAACACTTGCGCACGTGGGCACAATAACTTCTAAAACATTACCGCAACAATTACTATAATGTCTAACATAACATAACATATTCGGGCCTAAAATCCGAAAATATTTTTTTTTTTATTTCCAAATAGAATTACTATTTTTCTTTATTGAAGGAAATTCCTTAACAATTTACAATTCGTTATACAATAAAAACCAATATTTTTTTAGTCAGAATACATTTCGTCATTATGACACTTTTAGATTTTAGGGTAGATGTTCGTTATTACAGAACGTACTTTGATTTAACAAATTACATAAAATATACAAACTTTTAAATAACGATAATAAAATAAAAAGTTTCTTTAAATTGCACCATTTTTTCTCGCAATTACGAACAGATTTCGGGAATTCAGTGTTTACAAATTTGAAAATTTGAAATTTTGTCTGTTGAAAGTTTTGCCGTACACCATTGTGTATATCATATTGGAAGTTAGCATGAAACTTGTCGTAGACTATTATAGTATGACAATAAATAATGAAACACAATAAAAACATTTTTCAATGGAAATTTCCAATTATTATTTTGGCCTGTTTAATAAAAATAAAAAAAAAATTAAAAACACGTAACATTAAATTGAAATCATCATCATTAACCCATTTATTTGTCCCACTACTAGGACGGGTCTCCTATCAGGCGAGAGTTTACGTCATAGTCCTCCACGCTGGCCCAATGCGGGTTGGGTTGGGGGCTTCACACGTTTTCCGAGTGTTACGAACCTTCTTCGACTTTCAGGTTTCACCAAAAAGCTCATGGTAAATTGAAAATTAAATTTCGTATATAATTATATAATTTCTGAGAAATTCAGAGATGCGAGCATGGATTCGAACCCACGGCCTCTGCTTGAGAGTTAAGTGAAACTATTCGCGCCCAGTTACACGAGGCAAAATACACGCGGCCGCCGCGCTGCAACCGCCCAGTTATCCCGCCTTCATGTACGTAAATGGCGAATCTGAATTCTATTTACGAGGCAATAACATTTAAATTCCTCTGAACAACACAACCGTGCGATCGCCGCGCGTCCGCCGCGTAGACCAAGTTCTACTCTCTGGGACTCTCATTTAAGTTAAAACGTAAACGCTAAATAAATAGAGTGTATTTTGCAATGACAGTTAGACGCATGCGGTCACTCCGCTCGGCGACCGCGCGGGGTGAGCGCGATGAAATTCGTCTTTCACGCCTTCAAATTGACATACATATATATTAAACATAGGTATTTAATTTTTTTATATAGATATAAAAATAATTATAACTTTTTTATATAATGAAAACCGATCCTAAAAGTTTGTGGAATTGCACTTTAATAGCAAGTATTATTCAAATCGGTTAACGGAAAGTGGCTAAAAACAATGAATTGGATTCATCACTTAATTTGTCACCCCTAAGTTAGGTGTTAGGTGAAATATTTTCTTCAAATTTAGATGGAACCACTCTAAGGTCACCCTTTTTAACAAAAAATAACCATCGAAATTGGTTTACATAATACGTCGGAATAATCACAAAAAAGTACACCACAAAACAGTCTTTGGCATAAGAAACTTCTAATTTCTTCTTCATTTCTTAAAATGAATTTGTTTATTGATTCTGTATAATACACAATAATATATTAATACTGTAATATTCTACTTTTATATACAATAAATAATATTTTCTGTGTACCAAAATACAACAATAAGAAGCATTACAAATAATGAACATCAATTTTTATAATAATATCGAATGACGGTGGAAACAAGCGCGTGTACCTGGTAATCTATACGCGTATCCATAACAATTACAGTGACACTCGCCATCAACAAGTAATACACAGAATCGTAAAGGTCTAAAAAGCACTGGCACTGCACCCAATAATTCCAATTAAATATATATAGCAGTAGTAATGTGAGCATTTTCGTGTACCGGTTTTGAAGGGTGAGGGTGCTGGCGAAAATGCAAGCCATGAGACTTGTCGACTTATGTCAGGATGATGGGCGTAGTGGCAGTGCCCCTCAGATCTTGCCACTGCTATGGACAGACGTGTCGCTTACCATCAGGCACACGACTTGTTCGTCCGTCATTGGTATAAATAAAAAAAACTCACTTGTTAAAATTAGCCTCATGTTCGCTGTTGCGCGTGCGACCGTTTCTGTCAGACTAACTTATAAGCATGATATGACCAATCTTTTTTATACCTGTGCCCGTAAAGAGAACCAATATTATAGATGATTTGGTTACCGATTTATAAATAAAGAAATAATTATATTGGACGGTACATTAAACTTAAAACTTGGCTAAAAATATACCTTCATAAAATGTAATACCAATTAAAGGCATAACGGATTTCATTTTACTTTTAAAGTGCGTAGCTTTAAAAAATAAATATATCGAATTTTTAGTTTTTAAAAGAACTGTAACCCGGTCATGGATAATAATTAAACAGTACCGCACACCAAAACTTTTCTTTGTGCCGTAGGTAGTCTGTATCTAAAATATTAGTAGTGCTTATATTGATTCCATTTGTCGTACTGCTATAGTATTTACAAATGTATCTTGCAAAAGAAAATATGGCCACAGTAGAACCGAATTTCTGGTGAGTTTTTTCTACTCAACTTTGGTGACAATTTTTTTTATTTAAATATTTATAGAAAATCATGAAGTATTATGTAATATTCGAGTGCGATCACCTGAAATATTCTTTAATATTTCACGATGATATATTCGAGTAATTAAATAACAAAAATTGTCACCAAAATTGAGTAGAAAAACTTACCTGAAAATTATGTTGTAGTTGTGTCATGTTGGATTATTTAAAACATGTGCGTTTTAGAGCAATCATTTTAAACTTACCTTTGCTGTTAGAAAGTTCCAGCGCGATAAAAATGCGGTGTCTTATATCACACAAGTGTGCGTAAAAATAATTTAATTTTGTCAGTATGTTGTCGATACATCATTATGTAGAAACAGCAGGCGGTTGTAATAAAGCACTAGGAAGTCGCATCCGTAGTTGAGTTGTTGAGACCCCTATTGGTGAAATGGGATACCAAGTACTGTCATTTCGACGTTTTATTTTACGATAAAAGTAATTTTACTTATGTGACAAAAGTTTGTTTCATCAATGGTTATTGCTATCGACTTGAAATTTGGCGTAGTTGTACAACTTTGTTGCTCGTTTCAACTCTAGTTGAAAGAATATAATTATTATAGTATCGGAAATACATATTCAGAGTTTTTGACATGGTTTGTTGTCTAATAGAGGGTAGAAATCTAAGAATGGAGCCACTAAGTCGAGTGATATTACATGAATTCTCTTATTATTACACATTCCGAAACCTTTTTTGTATTCATATTACTTTTTGCGAGGTTTATGACAAAAATACGCAAGAAAAGACTGTTCCAGTTCTGAATGTGATAAGTTATAAATCTGAAGTAATCTAGAATAAGAATTCCCATATAAATCTAAAAGTGGAGTTAATAGGATATCATATAACAGATCTCTATTCAATCATTTAAAAAATAGTTTTGGAATTTCTGTTGCAATATTTTGTCAAAAATCCAAAATTCGTTTAAAACCTACCGCTTCAAAGTTAAAAGGGCAAAAAATATATTGAATGTATTCTATATTCAAGTAATTAACATGTATATATTTTACAATTATAAACATTTTCCTTTTATCATCATCATCATAATTCAGCCAGAAGACGTCCGCTGCTGAACATAGGCCTTTTCTTTTATAAAATATTTTATTGCTGTTTCATATTCATGAGTACTTAACATAAATACGATACTATTCCTGTTATCTCACATATCGATGGCTTAAAGACTGAGATATACAAGCCGCGCAAAGTTGACGAATCGTAGATCATCCTAATGTTGTTATGTGACTACACTAACCAATGAAAATTTCGGATCAAAAATAAAAAGTTGCGGCAACCGGCGGCAGCCCGATTTCCGCAACGTGCGAGCGACTATATAGTTTTCATTATAATTGTATGAAAATGGAATATTAGCTTCTATTTACCGGTTGTTTGTATCCAAAACAAGACACACACAATTGTTAATCCGCACTACATGAACAGTAAGAACTGCTCATCGAGAAATTATAATCCATTGTCCTTATTGTTTGCAAGTTGAAAGTTGAGAGTATGAGAATTCCAAGAGTCTAAATACTCTTAATACTAATCACGAAATTTGACTTTACGCTGTTTTGTAGCTTTATGTATACTTTGTTGTATGTTTTTATATAGTACATTTTTAAACATTTATTACAAAAGGGAAGGTTTTCGACCGCAGAGCTGTCTTTACCGCTAAGCATGATGTAATAGTTGACTCAAACACATTTGGAGAAGTGAAAATTTTCAAGAGTAAGAATGTTCTCAAAATTCCATTAATTATTTATGATTCTTAAAATACACAATCACAGACATTAAAAATACATGTAAAATCAAACGAGTTTTGTATATAACAATTAACAACTAAGTGGTTCCAGATATTGCGTTACCAATTAAATACTACTGTTAAATAATCGAATGACATTACTGTCTAATCGACCGATATATTTAGAACAGCTGATATATTATAGTTTTATTGTTTATGAAAAAAGTTAGGTAAAATAATATATACATACTGCTGTCCACTAACTTACGCGGCTAAGTGACAAATGCTCAAATCGGATATTTGTTAAATAGAGTACAAAATTTTCTTTTAAAAACAGTTAAAATTAGTTAACTTGTTCGACTTATTGGAACTTGCCCTGACGATGGATAACTGAAATATCGTAAACAATATATTAAACAATTTTAATACTCTAAAACTAGGTTATGGTTTTTATGATATGTCAAAAAAATATTTTATCACTTAGCCGCGTTTTAGTTAGCGGACAGCAGCATACATATCATCACGCATATCTCCCATCGGGGAGGGCAGAAATCACGGAGCTGCTACGCTCCTGATGAATCTCCTTCGCATCCTCCACTCCCATCAGTCTCTTCATACATGCCCGTTTATTCTTATTACTTTTAATCCGAACTTTTTTAAGGACCTTCTCAATCTCATTGAGATATGTACTTCGAAGTCTACCTCTCCCCACGCCTACATCCATATTCGCTCTATAAACTTGTGCCGTCAATCTACCAACATTCATTCTTTCTGTATGACCAAACCATCTAAGCATCCCCCTCTTTACACATCATCTTTCATACCATAATGCTCTCTTGCTACACCGTTTGGTATTCTTGTGTCTTGGCTAAAATTAAGCTAATTATTCTGGACGTATATTTTTTTATTCTAATCGTCGTTGACATCTTCGTTTACCATCTAATGCGATTACGGACAAATGTAAGCGTACAGGTATTGTAAAGCTAGATTTAAAATCCGTCTGTCGGTCCACCTGACAGAAATTAATTAATGTTTCCTTTTCTTTGCACAGCTGTGATTTCAAGCTAAAATTGTTATCCATTATATCACAGTCTAATTATGATCCACTTACAATCCTGGTACGTCGGTCCTTGTCGCTTCAAATAGGTACTATGAAGCTTTGCAAGGTATTACAAAGGAGAAGATGCAATAACTCTGCCAAAATATCTCTCACAGTGATGTTATTTTTAAATTTAGTACGACAACAATTCTAATAGGAACATGGTCGATCTGGAAATAAAAGTGATCACTGAATAATAGTAAAAACAATTTGTTTATCATCTTGCGGTTGTCTATAGAAATGGACTCAAAACCACGGTACAATTTACTGGATCCAGTACTGCATTGTCTAACACGCCGACACTACTTGAGCTAATTGCATCTCTTTCATGCTGCGATGAACAAGAAAATGCTAGGAATTCTCTATATTGTTCCTTAATTGAACTTGTTCCGTATTGTATGATATATGTATAGTTTATGTAGTTATTGCTTTTGTTTGTTCTGCATGCTGGAGTTGTACTGTGTATGTATCACTTGTAGGTATTGTTTTCACCTTAGATATTTATAGATTTATAATTAATTACATAGCCGTGTTTTCATGTGTTCAGTAGCAGTAGAGCTCCTCGTGAAAGAGTTCGTCCAGGGAAGGATTGCCTCCTTATCTATTTTTGCCGCCAAGTAGAAATGTGAAATTACTTAAAAGTGAAATTATGGGCAGTGCCCTTCAGATCTTTGCGTTTTAAAGGTCTGAGTGGCATTGCAACTGTTATGACCCAAGACGTGTTCGTCCCGTCACTTGATATCATAAAAAATGAATTAAAAATTAATTTAATGTTTAAATGAGCTGGTTAAATGCTAATAAATAACTGGTTATGCGATCGATTTTCTTGACGGGATAATTTTGTTTCAAACAGACACGATGAACAGTGTTCTCTTTTAAATTTCTACGTATATAACTAAAATGGAACTGTGTGAACAAGAGATTAGACAATCTGAACAATTTGCAGAGTGCACATGCTACGAATAAAACATTTCACGTAAAGAACGTTCTATTTGTTATGTGCCTAAACATGTTTATAATTGAAGTTAACGTACTTATATCAGTTTTAGAAAAGAATGCAAATTCCACACAACTAGTGGTATTTCTTGGAGTAAGAATAGCCAGCAGTCGCTGATGATAATTAACCGACTTCAAAAAAGGAGGTTCTCAATTCGTCAATACAAAAAAAAAACATTTTTTTGTATATTTGTTACGCAATAACTCCGCCATTTGTGAACCAATTTTGATGATTCTTTTTTGTTGGAAAGAAGGTACCGCAGATGTGGTCCCATTTAAATTTCAAGAAAATATTCCACCTCTAAGGGTGGCAAACTAGGGGATGAATGACTTTTGGGGTCGGTTTTTTAACCGGAGGTTATTATACTTATTGTCCTACATTGACTCGACACTTCATAAAGGCTTTTATCCAACAGCTTGGGCTGAAAGTGACAATACACAACTCTGCTTAGAACGTCATATCAAAACAATTACATTGTACATGCTAGTTTCTTTACATAGATTCACCAACACGTTTTTATTTATGGTCTGTCTTTTTTGAATACGGATTTTATAAAATTTTAAATAGTTACGTGGTTGTTGTCGACAGTTCTATCGATAGATTTTGAAAGAAGACAAAATTATGCCAAAAATGACTGAATTGTGAATGACGTTTTAATGATTACTAATTGCGTTATTGCCTTC